GTATTTCATATTTATTTTCCAAAAATCAAATCATATCTTAACATATGATTTTATTAACAAACTTCTACGTGACTGACTATCATTCACACACACACACGCACATAGCTATGTATATTATCATTCATTCTCAAGAGTCTTTGTTATTGGATTCTCTCTGTCCTCTTCCCCTCAGTGTCGAGGTTTCTTCTTTCTCCTCTCTTTGTCTCTTTCTCACTTGCTCTTTCTTCATCACCTCCATTATCATTTCCTATATATAAAAACTTTTTTTATATATAATTATGAAAATCAAGAATGTGGAATTTGTTGACCCAAGTAATATTTTCAAGGATAGAAAATATTGAATATTTAATGTAATTTGTGGATGAATTGTGGATTGACACTTCTTAAATATTTTGATATTGGTTTATATATAATTTCTAGTAGATTATTGTTTACATTTATGCAACCAAATCTCATGATAAGCAATTAAAAGTATTAGCCGAAATGTGATGGGCATAACATGATTACACTAATGCCGTAATGTTGGAAGATAATTGATTGTTAAGACCAATATTTAGTAATAATTAATAATAATAATAATAATTGTGAAAATATAATATTTTAGATGGCATGTGTATGTACATGTACATGTCATAATGGAAACACATACTTTTAGCATGTGGAGAGATGATGGATCACCCTCCGATCCAGATTAGGTGGGCCCATTGTGTTAGTCTTTTTACCATATCAATATATATATATAAAAGAATCGCAGGAAATATGCATGTTTGTCCACGTGAAATTAAGAAGAAAAATTTCTCCTCTCATGACAAGTACATGAACCTATTACCGAAAACGACAACGCTTTGCAATTAAGTCTCTCCCTCTCCCATTTTTAACATGTCCCATCCAAATTCATTCTCTCCTTGCTCAACCTCGTGCCCTCCTTTTTTTTTTTTTTTTTTTTTTTTTTTTTTTTCTTCAAAATTATTTCACAATTTGGTAAAAAATAAAATAATTTTAAATACCCATTAATTATTAATTTAAAAATTAATGAATAAATAAATAAATAAAAAAAGAAAAAAAAAGCAGGAGTCATTTTCAAAAAAATGTTGTTGTTAATAATTTTGTGTGTTTTTATAATTGAAGCCGTGAGTGGTGGAAATTAAAATGTGAGTGGAGTCCAGGTGGGAGCCAGCTACAGAGAAATCCTTACACACACACACATATATATATATATAAATAAATAGCTTAATCCTAATTAAGTAAGTAATTAATTAATTAATTATTCGTTTATTTATTTTTTGTTGAGTGAGACTTAAGACTGCTTCGCATTATTTCCTCTCTTAACTTTTGCTTTTAGCTTTTCAAGGCTGGCAATTTAAAGCATAATTAATTAGCTTCTTTCCCACCCTTTTTCTTTATATTTATGCATAATACACACTAAAAATATGACGGTTTATATTAATTTTATTTTATCAATAATTTTTCTTATTACCGTATAGTTTTAGATTGTAGTTTAATATTTGTATTATTTATATAATTTTGAATTAAATTTAATAAAATAAACATTGGGGGATCTATTTCCCAATATGCAGTGTGAGTAAAAAGGGAAAAGGGAGGCACGTGTGTAGGCTCCACCTGATCACATGTATTAAGATTGATGGAATATTTAGAGTATGGTAAAAAACAATCTAGGCATGATCTTATCACCGTTAAAATTGTATCACTTTACTCCATCAAACTCATGATTAACATTTCCATAATCCCAATTATATATATTAAAATGACATCAGGCTGCATTTCACTATTTGCAATCAACAGGTAATTATGGCTTACTGGGTGACTACGAAGAACAGTCAAACCCTTAATATATATATATATATGTATGTATGTTGAGTAAAATCAACAACAATATTTAATTACCAAAAATTTTATTTCTTTAACGATACGCTAAGTAAGGTATTTGATTTTATATATTTATAAAATATATATATATATATATATATACATCACGTCGCACATTCTATAGACTGAATGGCACGTAGATTCAAAGTGTCTCGTAGTTATTAAGGTTAATTGTAAGGTATTGTTTGGCAATTTTAGGAGAGATGCACCCATTTGGATCTCAATCTTTGTTTCTATAATCTCCTTTTTTCAGCCACACAAATGGGTCTCATCTAATTTTTGTTGATTAATTAATTTATAGTTATTATTAATTAATTAATTTATAGTTATTATTAATTAATTAATTAATTAACTAATTATTGGATGGAGAGGCATATGACAGGCACCGCCTTCTTTTTTCAAAAGAGAGAAGAAGCACGTGGCAGGTGAGGAGTATGTGTACATACCTTCCAACTCAGTAGATTAACTTGCAAATTAAACTCTAAAACTCATTTTTTATTAACTCTAATTTGCCGCACATATATATATATATATATAATATTTGCTTATTCAGTAAGAAGGAAAAAAAAAAAAAAAAAGAAGAGATTAAGGACACCAACAAGAGGGTTTGAAAATCATTAACAGATAGTGATGTGTGAGGTTTTAATGATTAGTTGATGTTAATTTTTGCTTGGCGTTTTAACATTTTGATTAAGCTACTAATTAGGAAGCATTTAAATAGTCTCCCCCTCCAAAAAAAAAAAAAAAAAACAAAAAAGCAGTAGCTGAAGTTGGAGCCCATGATTTGACTCGTTAAGATTCTCCTATTGCTTTAAATCTTTTATTTATTTTATAAAGTAAACATATTCAAGTTATAAATTAAGATTATGATTTTGTTAAACAGAGAATTATGGGTTGTAATTAATTAAATAGGGATGGTATGATGGCGCGTGGGTGTACGACTAAAAGAAATTTAAAGGAAAAGATATATCAAGTTATGGAGAAGGAAGGACATGTCGCCATAATTAGCGGGGAAGAGTGCGTTTTGTTGTCTGAAGATTGTCGTTTCTTGTAAATTTAAAGAAGAAGAAGGAGAAGAAGAAGGAGGAGGAGGAGGAGGAGGAGAAGAAGAAAGAGTTTCGTGAGAGTCTTTTGACCATCTGTCCTTTTCCTCTTTTCTTCAGCTAACACTTTGACTTAAAACTCCCTCTGAAAAGTGCAATGCCAACCCACCTAATTAAATTGGTGGGTGAATATATAAATAAGTTAATAATTTTAGTGGAAGCCAGAGGAAGATATTTAAGGCAAAAATCAAGGGATAAGGAATCAACATACCCACTCCTTTAATTATAAAACAACAGAGGAAAATGCCTCCCTGTTGGGTAATATGTCTTCTTAACACATTTTTAATTTCATGGGAGACACGAAACTGGTCGTTTTCTTTTCTTCATAATTAACTATTTTGTAGTTACAACGTAATAGTTTTATTTCTTCTTAATTGTATATTATTTTTATGCCTAAATTAGAGGCCAAACTTAAAAAACGTTTTCAAAGTCAATCCCTTACTCTGGTCTTATTTTGTTTTTTTTTTTTTTTTTATGATTTACACCGGTGTCTCTAATTTTTATTTTCTTTGATTTTCGAACTCCCTCCATTATTCTTCTACTTTTTATTTGGGAGTTCAATTTTTACATTTATATAATGCTATAAAATCTAAAATTGAATAAAATTCATAAACTTAATCACATTTAAGATTGTGTGATTATGTTTGGTTTATGTTATCTCAATCCCACATTAACGTTAAGATTAAAGTTTTATATAACTAAAATGAATTTATTATCATGTAGGTTTAATAAAAATTAAAATTTCTAAGTCGTTTGTAAATTAAATAAATTTAAATTATTCTTGATTGTAACCAAATAATGTTTACAATAATTTATCTAAAATTAATTACTTAAAATCAAAATATACAAAATATTTGTCTTTTTCTGTAATGAACCCTTTCTTCTCTTTAGATTAGAAATATGTTTAGTGACAGAATACCTTTTGCTCTTTTTACATGGTATAAATATCATCCTCTTTGTTTCTTACAAAGAGACGATTGCTACACTTTTTTTGTTTCTTTCAAATTGTAGACTCTTGGATGTCCAACTCCAATTTTATTTTTGGCCTAAAATAACGTTTTCTCGAGAAAAAAACATGAAAACTAACTAAGAGTAGGAGCAGGTTAAAGAAAATTGAAGACAGACAAATGGATCGTCATTGGATTCATTATTTAATGGGCCGAGTATAAGTTGAAGCTCAATCTTGTTCATCAGCGACCCAATTTCCTGTAAAACCCAGATTACAAATTAACCCAGTTTTCCCTACACTTAATTCATCTGCCCTTCAACCCAGAATCTACACAGGAAGTTTAAACAAGACCACATAAAAATCACTTCAATCTTTATGTTTTCAATTAAAATTTTCATATAATTAAATGGGTTTGAAATATATATATATATATATATAAAGACAATCCCAAATATATAATTTTTTTAGTTTTCAAACAAAATTTATTTATATTCCCAAAAATGAATTGTTTTAGAACTACAAATTAAGGAAATAATTTTGATTTGCATCCTTAAGGCTTGGACCCTACCATGCATAAAGATAAAAATAAACATCAAGAGAAATTGCAAGGAAGCTTCCCTCTCTTTCCTTCTACCGTTTTTGGCCTTTCGAAGTTTCCATATTCAATTCAATGAAATTCCTATACACATTATCTTAATTAGCTAACCTGCCTTTAATTAATCACTCCATTTAATTAAATAATATCGTAAAGAAAATTCATATAAAATTAAAATATTTATTTCAAAATGAAATAAACTGCATTTGTTCCCTAAGATCAAACTCCTCAACTTACTTGATCCACCGCTGGTGATTATCGATCAAGAAAAGGATTTTCAAAGTCAAACCCGAACCACCGTCTGATTAAGTCTTGACGGTGTTGATGCCGTGGGCTAAGTGGGATCACTTACCGTACAAGCAATTTTCTTTTTAATTAATTTTTTAAATATTAAAAAATAAAAGAAAGCAAGGCGTCTATTTTTTGCGTGGTGCTTTTGTTTTCTTCCTCCTTTTTTAAGGGCATGGACCCTGCGTGAAGATAGACCCAAGCCTTATTTCCTCGACTTTCTGTTTCGTTCTCGTCTCTCTCTTTTACCCTTGTTCGCAGCACAGAGCTCCACTAAGAAAAATGCCAGGAGATAGGAGGATTGGAGTGGCCATGGACTTTTCCCAGAGCAGCAAGAGAGCTCTGGCATGGGCCATCAATAACTTGCTTGATAGAGGAGATACTTTTCACGTCATATACGTCAATCCAAGCTCACTCGATGAATCTCACAGCACTCTCTGGTCCAAATCTGGCGCTCGTATGCATTTTCCTCTTTAATTCATTATACGACAGATTCTTATTAATATCTCATCATGATCTTGTCTCTTTTACTTAGCTTATGATCGGATCTTAATTTTCCTGTTTTTCATTTTTTGTATTTTGATCATTTTGCAGCTCTTATTCCCTTGAGTGAGTTCAGAGAACCGGAGATTATGAAGAAGTATGATGTGAAAATAGACATCGAAGTGCTTGATTTGCTTGATACTGCTTCCAGACAAAAAGAGGTTTCCTCATTTTATTTTCTTCCCGATCGTGTATTGGTTTCAATTAGAATCTCATGGATCAGCTATATGTATGTATGTGGATTATAGAAAGATACCTTTAAACATGATTGCAGGTGAAAATCGTTACAAAACTCTACTGGGGAGATGCGAGGGAGAAGCTTATCGACGCGATTGAAGATCTTAAACTGGACTGTATAGTCATGGGTAGCAGAGGACTGGGCACTGTTCAAAGGTGAGTAAATTTAGATCTGATAAACTTACATTAATTGTCCTTTTCTGGAAACGTGAAAAAAAATTAATGAGAAATGATGATGTTACAGGATATTGCTTGGAAGTGTAAGCAACTATGTGATGACACATGCGCCTTGCCCTGTTACCATTGTTAAGGAATCAAGTTTCAACAAGTAGTGAAATATGTCTTATAAAATGGAGGGTGCTTTGAATTTCGAATTGGGGATGTAAGGTATCATTTGAGCCGATAAGTTGTTGATGGGTCATGTTTTGATGGATGGTTTTCCGTATGTTCTGTGGTTATCTGCCATAGCCAACTTTGAGAAAAGTGTATGCGCCCTGATCTTGAATAAATTAAGTAGTCTATTTTATTTTATTTTATTCCTTTTTCGCATACAGACACAAATGAGGGACTTGAAAATGCTTCCATGTCACACCCTGATGAATCAGGATTGTCTGGTAGACATGCTCATTTTCTTGTCATTTATCAGTTTCATCATTCCTTATTTATCTGCTGCTCTCGTATATGAAGTTACACTTGTCAAATCCTAAATCATCATAACCAAGAAAGATATGCAATTAGCTTGCCTTGTAAGTCAGAGGTAGCTAAGAACATTAAAGATATATCGAAGTGAGTGGTAGTGTGAAGATAATGTTAATGTGAATCTCAAGGTAGCCAGCCAGCCAGGAATACATAATGCATGCAGCAGGTTTATGGTGGTCAGATTTGATGGTATTAAACAGTGAAAAAAAAAAAAAAAAAACTATGTGAACTTTAAACACATGGATGTTGCTGGTATTATAAAATTACAAATTCAGTAATACAATATATTTTAAATAAAATCATACACTAATCTCAAAGTCAATTTTTATTATTTTATATAATTCTGGTATAGTCTATTACAACAGGCTCAATATTTTGGTGTCCAGGGCCAGCACGTGTAATCTAATAATTATCACATAATATATTTTACTTTTTGCTCAATATATATATATATATATATATTCATTTGTAAATACAATATCTGCATTGCCCGGGAGTATATAGAATGTTGGAAGCCCATTGGGCTACGTTTTGGGCCAGCTTAATACTGTCCCTCCTCCTAATCCATTCAATAAAACATCAATCACGGCAATAAATATTATTGGTTATTTATTGATGGGATAATTAATTAAAAAAAAAAAAAAATAGAACATGTACACATATCTCAATCCATTGATATAATTTTAACTTTGTTATACAATAATTTTATATCAAACTTCAAAATAAACAAGAAAAGTCGATCTTCTACTCCCATACCTTTCAACACACACTTCATTAAATTTCTGGTTCTGCCAGTGTGTGTATATATAATCCGTACACAGTTGTACTTGCACAATATATTTTATATACTGCATATATATGCTGTATACAACAACTTTCGAGTATGTATTTAATTCTCTTCAAATTCAAGCACACCGATCAGAAGTACATGGAAATTGAAACTGACAAATCTGGGGAAAAGCATATATAAACATACTGGTTGATTGTGTTTGTAAGTTCTGGGTTATTCAATCCTGAGTTTAAAAAGGCTTATGTAGAAGCAGCGGGACTGGTTCGTGATTCATAGCGAACCTTGATACGTGCGGCGAGATTTTCTCTCTCAGGCAGACATTGTTTAATCAAATCGCAATTGACGAACTCTTGAGTCCACTCAAATAATTTGGGAAATTTCTCAGCCGTCAGCAATTCCAACCCAAATATTTGTTGAATAATTCCAACCCAAAACCCTAAAAAACAAGCCGCTATATCCACCATTCCTATCCTTTCTCCTCCGAAGAATCTCTTCCCCTTTATCTCATTCTCGAGTGTCCTCAGACACTCGTTTGCTTCTTCCACCGCCTTCTCTCGCTCATTCTCTTCGCTCCAGAAAGCATAATGCATACTCATCATACACTTAACAAAAAAACCCAATTGTCAGATCCAACTTTCATTTTTTAAATTTCACCAATTCAACAAACAAGGTTGATGTGTGTGTGTCCGTCCGTCTATATATATATATATGTATGTATGTATGAATGCAGAGAAATAGAAAGAGAGAAATTAGTTTCTTGTTTTTACCTTTTCGTCGATGTACTTGGCCCAGAAACGAGCCATGGCTCTGTCATGAGGATCTTGAGGCAGGATTGGATTTTGTTTCCATGTTTCATCAATGTATTCAACGATGACAAGAGACTCTGCAATTGGTTTCCCGTTGTGGATGAGAACAGGGATTTTCTTGTGGACCGGATTAGATTGTAGGAGCAAAGGACTCTTGTTAGAGAGATCTTCTTCTATAAATTCATAAGGAATACTCTTCATTTTTAGGGCAATCATTACCCTACAGCTGAAAGGACTACCACTAATTCCCAACAATTTCACTTCTTCAGTCATCTTTTCTTTCTTCCTTCTAACTGCTAACGGAATGAATTTGGGTTGGTCTTGCTGGGGATAATTACAGTATTTATAGACCAGCTATCAATTGCCTTTTCTGCAACTTGACTATCCAAATTAGTTCAATATTCAATGGTCAATAGCCAATAATTCAAAAAAGTTGGAAACACCAGTTGAAAGAAATTGAATTTTCAACATGCACAAAAACAGAGAAGACAGTACAAATGGGTATCCGGAGAAAAAAGAAAAACTCCCAAAATTAATATTCCTGTAATTTCGTTTTTCAATTAAACCGTACATATTACTATTTCTCTGTATAATATCTGAACCCGCGAAAGATGATTTTTACTTTGGATTTTTCTAACGTTGTCAATTTCATGGAAGCAAAGTTTTCCACCCACCTCATCTCATTTTCAGCTGAAAGGTAAAAAATTAATAATAACAAACCTAAAAGAAAATTCTTTCACCATGTAAAGAAAATCCTTAAGGTATAAGATGTACAAACACGACTTTGAAATTTCAACATGTAAAGTCGAGAGACATTGTGAAAAGGAAAAATAATACCAAATTAGTTCTGTGGGCAATTACGACATCATGCAGGCTGAAGCTAATGAAACGTTTTTCTTCGCATCTTCTCTCAGATTTTACAAAGAGATTCAGATTCAAATTAAGTGGCAAGTGTGTCAGGCCATAAATCCATCATCAATGGCCCAAAATATATTTTCTCAGGTCCAATTTTTTGGTTAATAAATTACACAATCTTCACTTTACAAAATATAATAGAATACAACCTCCAAAAAAAAGACACACAAGAATATAAATCAGCTCGAACTTAAAAAGATGTAGAAATATCAACCATTTAATTAATTAGTAGTTGGTTAAGATTATGCAAGTTAATTGTTGAAATAAAGAGAACTGTATGCTACCACCTAAATTAATTAATGAAATTAGCTATCGTTGCGAGTCTAATTTTTCTAGTCCTCTAAAAAAATAATTTTGTAGGTGCTTAATTTTTTAGTTCACTCATTCAAATATATCAGGAAAATTCTTATATGAACATTCAAGTTTAAGAACTTTTAAATAAATTTAGCATTTATCTTTTATTAAAATTGTTAATTAATTTAAATCATCTATTACTTAGAAAACTGAAGGTGATGAACTTTATGTGTAAGGATTTCACTTATTATTTAGGAAAACAATAAGTAATGAACTCCATTTATAAAAATTGTATCTATCATCTAAGATGACAATAAGTATTGAACATAATCTATAAGGAATTTGTATCTATCTTTTTATTATAATTTGTGTACTTAAAGGCTGACCTATTGAAAGAAAATTCAGATAAAGAAATTCTTATCAATACCTATTTTCTCATTCTCTCCTCTGAGAAGAAGGAAATAAGATGTGGATTCATGATAATTGCAAATAAGATGTGGATTCATACTCGAGGAAGAGGAATAGATAATGACAACTACTATGCAACTTATGCAAAACCAAAACAGCAGATTAATATAAAACTGAATGGTACATATGTCATAGGTATGACCATTATAAATAAGAGTGTCGAACTAACTTAAATAAAAGTGGTGGAAGATAATGTAATTTTGCAGAAAAAGAAAAAGAAATCTCTTTATTACCTACCAAGTGAAGGAGCATGAAAATGAAGAAACTCACTAGAATTTGTGGTACTTAAATACTGGATGCAACAACCATATGTTTGGGAACAAGTTGGCATTCTCCAATCTAGATGAATTATATCAAGATTTAGAAAAGTTTGAATAAAACTCTAAAGTCTCAGTAATGGGAAAAGAGTAGGTGATCATTCAAAAAAAAAAAAAAATATTGCTCAGACAATTTTTAGTGTAATTTATGTCCCATATTTGAAGACCAATCTTTTAAAACTTGGTCAATTACAAAAGAAAGGATATGAGATTCTCATTAAAAATAGAGTATGTTGAAATAAGACGACAATTTTGGCTTAAATGCTCAAGTTAAAATGAGTACTAACTGAATATTTCATCTCTATCTCAATAACATACAACAATCATGTTTCTCACTAAAGTAAGGAGATGAAGCTTGGTTATGGCATTTTTATTATAGATATCTTAATTTTGGTGGCTTAAAGACTCTACAACAAAGAATATAGCAATGTGTCTTCCTCAAATTTCACCTCCATCACAAATATGTGAAGAGTGTTGTTAGCAAATTGCTGTTAGGGCACAAGTAAACTTTTTTTATGTGATTCGATTGGCTGTTAAGGCGATGGGGTGGGGGCGGTCAACGTCGGGCTGGCCACGCATGTCTAGCCAAGTCACCCACCCGCTCGGGAACCGAGGAGCCTTCCTCAGGTATGGGAAATTGACCCACCAGTCGAAGCCGAGGGGTCTTCCTTGGGTTTGGGAACACGATTCATCACTCGAGAAGCCGAAGAGTCTTCCTCGGGTACAGGAATTCGATTCACCACTCAAAAAGCCGAAGAGTCTTTCTCAGGTACAGGAATCCGATTCACCACAAGGGAAGTCGAAGAGTCTTCCTTGAGTATGAAACTTGATATTTTTGGTTTTGAGAACCAGGACAGTAAGGGAGCAAATTGCTCACCCTTACGCGGTGAGCCAAGCATCCCATCGAGTAATCATTGAAACCGTGATTTCGATTGAATTTAACTTCAGTTTAGTATTTAAATTACATTAATTAATATGTGTCGTTTGTGTACGTGAATTAGGACGTTCAGGTAGATCCGAGAAGATTGTTGCACAAAGGAGTTGTAGGTATTTTCGATTCTGAATCTAGATTAGGAATTTTGGAATTATGCATGTATTTTATTAATTTTATGGATACTAACTCAATTTTTGATGAAGAACAGAACCCAGATCTATGACAAGTGAACCCTAAGCTATTGGAATTTATGAGGAGATGGAACTAGAAAACAAACCCAAGGACTGAGGAATACTTAAACTGTGATAAGAAATAAATTTAAACCTAAAAGAAATCATTAATTAAACTGAAGGTTGAAAAAGAAAAGAAAATAACGTAAGGAAATAAATAAAAATAGAAATGAATAATTATGGTTGTGAAACGAAAAATTAAAATAAAATTTAAAAGGAAATAAAATTAGAGGAAAATAAATAAGAAATTGGAAATGAGGGGATGCGAGTAATTAGATTATGGACCCTAAATGCCTTCTTGTTTAATTTGAATATAGAAGGGGAGTGTGTGTGTGTGTGTGGCTGAAGTTCAGCGGGCATGGTGAACTTGCATATGGATAAAATTGAAACCTAGTCCAGACGTGGATAAGTGTTTATAAATGTGGGTCACCTAACAAACGTAATTATTATGACCATTGTGAGATTTTATGTGTGTGCTATCCATGTGATGGGAGGATCCATTTGCCTCTCCTCGACGATGAGATAAATAGCATCGTGCGATAAAACTTTAGAGATGACCATTCAAGTGTATATATGATCTTTCATGTGTATGTGGTTATATTTTGATGTTATGATTGATATTCGAGTGTATGTATGTTCTTTCGAGAGTATGTGGTTATGCTTCGAGGTTATAAATGATGTTCGAGTGAAATTAAGAAATCCGATCAGAAACATGTAAAAAGAGAGAAAATAATAAATAAATTTTCTATAGAAAATAGTACTACTGTATTTGTCTCATATTGTGTGTTTTTGCATGAAATTTTATCTGAGTTAAAAGAATGAAAATACTATTGAGTTGGTAAAACTCATTAAATTTCACCCTGATATTTTTCAGAGGAAAAAAAAAATTAGAACTGTTGCTGGACGAATAGAACCTGTAAAAGGATTTCTATTCATGTATATTTTATGCATATTCAAAAAAATTTATTTTATTTTGTTAAACTCTAAATTTTGACATCATATTCTGTATATATAACTACTGTATATATCATATGGGATATTAGGTTGTATGATAAATTTTGAGCTATGCATATGCATATTTTATGAGCCCATTGCATGAAAATGGCATATGTAGGAATTGCGCCTCATATCGAGTTTAGGGCGCTACATCCAAGTTCCTTCAACGCAGTGTTCCCCTGATGGAACACCACTCACACTAGACTCTCATGCTGTAAACCAACTTCCCTTCATTCCTTTGCTAGGTGTTGGCCAATAGGCCTTCTTTTACGGGCTTATCAGCCACCCACAGCCATAAACAACATGTGATTCGAGGGCCGTGATTAAAGCTGAAAAAGGAAATTTAAATATGCCTTGCCTCCCGTTTCTTCTTCATTTATTTCATTCGAAGAAAGAACACCATTTGTGTGAGAGAGAGAGAGAGAAAGGGGAGAGAAAGGGGGGAGAGAGAGAGAGAGAGAGAGAGAGAGAGAGAGAGAGAGAGAGAGAGAGAGAGAGAGAGAGAGAGAGAGAGAGAGAGAATTTTGAGAGCTTGAAATAACCAATGAGCTTGAGTGTTGTGGATTGATACCAATAGATTATTTAACAGCCTGTGACTGTCCAAGAGGGACATCTTCTTCCTTTTTGTTGTAAATCGTTTCTCTTTTGGCAAGAGTGAGTTTAATTTCTCTTTTAGACTATTTAAACTTTCCCATTCACCAACACTAAATCAAACTTCTTCTACTTCA